AGAAATTCAAAACACTTCTTGTCCCAAACATTTTGTATAAATGACACTGAATAATGCAGATGTTTAAGTAATAACCTCAAGGAAGAAGTACATGGGCTGATCAAAATATACAGCTAAGATTCAAATTCTTTAAATTTGTTACAATAAGAGATACATACTCATTAATCCTCCTTAAAAAACACATTCTGAAAATAAATTAAATAAAATACACCTTGCTTCAAACACACTTCTCCGTTTGTTCTTGCAATTTTTGGAGCAATTTGGAAGTCCTCTTTTGTGAGTGTCTTTACAAATTGAGATAAAAGTATGGTGAGTACAGCTGCTGAGTGCCATCCAATGGGAAGAACAGCTCATATACACACTATGGTGTGCCCTTATCCACGTGATTCACCAGATTTGAATCCTTGTGACTTCTGATTCTTCTCCAAAATCAAAATGATCATGAAAGGTAAATAGTTTGAACTGCTTCAAACTTTGAGGCAACCACAACAGCAAAACTAAAGATCCTTATAAGAGGACTTCCAGAATTGATTCAGAAAAAAATGGCAAGAATGCTAGAATAAGTGCATTCAAATGAAGGAGGAACTGGGTGTGGTGGTGCACACCTGTAAACTCAGCACTTGGGAGGCTGAGGCAAGAAAATCTGAGTTTGAGAGTAGCTTGAGCAACACAGTGAGTACAAGGCCAGCATGAACTCCAAAGAAAATCCTGTCTCAAAAAACTAACAGCCAACAAGCAAAGAACACCTAGGTGATTGTTTTATCACAGTTTTGTGTTTGTGTGTAGATTACTAACTCATTGAAGATGGAAGACCTTCCCTATGTGTGGTGGGCAACCACTAGTGCATCCAGGAGGCAGTAAAAAGGGAAAGGAGAAAGTCTGGCTTCTGCCTCTTCAGAAGAGGTTGAGTCCTTGCCATCAACTTAGGTGTCATTTCCAGGATCCTAGCACAGATTCTTCTGCTTCCTGCCACAGACTCTCCCAGGACTCTGCTGTGAGCTCCAGGTCTTAGACTTATGTGTTGATCTTTTGCATCACAAATCAGCACCAGGCACTTTTGCGTTCTTCTCCACCAGGCTCTGCAGATGGCCTTCCTAAGCCTCCTTTGTAAATCCTTATCTGTCACACACACACACACACACACACACACACACACACACACACACACACAAATTAAATCTGATCCTCTAGTGCACCCTGACACAAAATGCCTCTAGCTACCTGTGCAACCTCCCATGAACAATTTCATGCCTCACTCATGTGAAACACCCAAAGCAGAACTGCAGCGGTGCTGTGCTAATTATGGGTTAGTTAACAGAGATGTTGGTGTTGGCCCCATTGGGTTAAAATTCTGTCCACTGCTTTGTTATTGGAAAAGGTATTTAATGTTGGTGTGTAGGCTCACACAGCTATGAAAATGAAGATAATTCCTAACTCACACTCTTGTAAGAATTAACATATGTAAAGCATCTCAAAGGGGCCCTGGCCTGACACCTATAAGTGCTACATATGCTTATTAATATGTTACATTAACATGTAAAGATACTTTTTTTTAAATCGATACCAGGATCGAACTCACTACCGCCTACTTGCAAGGCAGGTGCTTATGCCACTGAGCTAAATCCCCAGCCCCCATGTAAAGATACTTTTAAGATATAAAGAAATCAGACGATGGATATCGAAAGCACTCATTTCTCTGTAATAAAAGGACAACAACACAAATAACAATTGTATCTGAGCACTTGCTATATGCTAGGAACCATGGGAAGATCTCTTCACAGTAGTGCCAAGAGATGAGTATTGCCTTTCGTAACACTTTGTTTTTTAAATGGAAAAAAACCCACAATATTTCAAAATGAAATAATAGGAGAATAACAATAGTGGAAACTGAGGCTCCCAGAAGAGAATCAGTGTGCCTAAGGTGTCAGGCCTGGGAAAATTTGAGTCCAGACATCCATAAATTCCAAGCCTCAGACTCAGTCCACTCCTCTGCTTCCTGTCATAGCAGGCCTGGGTCTCAGAGTCTCCCACAAGCCTCCTCAGAGACCTGCAACCACACCTCGCTTCAGCCTGACCCAACCCCCAATGCCACGCCCCCTTCCTCAATCTCCCCCACAGGAGGGATACATACCTATTGGGCCCCAACTTTCTGGCCACGCCCCTTGCCCCGCCTCCCAAGAGGCTGACTCCCATAACTGGCCTCAAGTGAAGATTACACTCCACCTGGCCCAACCTGCGCATGCCGCGCCCACAGACTGTCCCTCGCCTTGAGCCTGCACATCCCAGTCAGTCCCGAGCCAACCCTGGCCTCGCCCTCACAGTGGATGCCGGTCTTGTGCACGGAGTCGCCATTTTGCAGCTGGAGAAGCCCTCTGGAGACCTGAACGCTCTTTCTTCAGTGGCCTAGCCTGTGGCGGGGCGGGGCCTGGGTCTGGGCCAGGTAGGCAGGCGGGAGCCGGCTGTGAGCGGCGGCGCGGCCCGGTGGCCCCGAGGTTAGCGGGCGCAGGTGCCTCGGCAAGGAGTCCTACGGGGGGGGGGGTCGCGGGCCCAGGGCGGGGGCGTGGCTCTGGGGGCGACCCGGCCTCAGCCCGCAAGGCCCCTCTCTCCCTTCCTCCCTCCTCTCCTTCAGGGGTCCGCACAGCCAGGACTGGCGTGCAGCCCGGAGTCCCTGGCCCCCACCAGGCGCTGCTGGGAGCCCAGCCCTGGAGTGGGACCTGCGGGAGGTGGCTCAGGTCTCATATGGCCTCTGCTGTCACTGAGCCTGGCTGTGCTGAGCCAGGGATATTTACCCCCAAAACGGCGATTTCATTCCATTCCGACCTCCTCCCTGCAGAGACTGAGAGAGGACCAAGATATTACAGTAAGATAGCAGTTATTATGCTACTTGCACATGCTTTAGCTAAATTCCCTTCCATTGATAAGGGGTTTCTGCTTCTTTTAATATTGGTGCCACTTGGGTGTTTAGGTTTTGTAAACATAAGGAGACTGAATGCAGCAAGGGGCTTTGACAACAAGGCAAAGTGTGATCAGTAGGGTTTAAAAATTTAAATCCACAAATAAAACTAATTCACACACATTTTTGAACCCTGCTACAAAATATCCAACTTGCCCATATTCGGCTGTCTCTAACCACTACTACCCAGTTCTGCTCATATGATTTATATATTTGCATAGTGTTGAATATTTATATTATACGCATAGGTAGAAGTTTATTTAGTTATCCTGTTACTGACCATGTACAAAAGTCTAGTTCCTCTTAGAAAAATTGCATTGAGCATATATCATTTTTTCTTGGGATGAATTCCAGAATTTGAAAATACTAATTCAGAGTTCTCTGTTCTTTCCCTGACACTTGACATGAACTGGTGCTTAAACAAGCCATGTTTACATCTTTCAAAATCTAGGTATTTGTCCAATTATCTTGGAAAATTTGGAGTTCAGCGACATGTTGAGTCATTTTCTGTGCAGGCTGAGAGGCAGGCCACACAACCTACTGTAGGATTTCATTTTTAAGTCATGTAACATGTTCATGTTTTTGTTTTGATTGACTATTCTGTTGTGTTTCATTTGGTTTTATTCTCTTTAAAATTAAAAATTAAAAAAAAAACATTTTCTTGCTGGGCATGGTGGTTCATGCCTGTAATTGTAGCACTCTGGCGAGTTAGAGAGGGGCATCACAGGGAATGCCAGGCTAGCCTGAAATACTTGATGAGTTCAAGATCAAGCTGCAGTACATAGAAAGACCTTGTCTCAGAACAAAACAACCCCTTTTTCATCTTTTCTTATTTTAATGTAGCATAAGTAGATACTAATAAAGAAAATATGAAAACACTTTTATAAATAGATTAAAGTTTTCATACCATGCAGTTTATATACTATGAAACTATAATATACTTTATATAACTATATATTGTGAAACAGCATAGTAGTTTCATACTATGCAGTTTTCATACTATGCAGTTTATATACCATGTTCCATTATCCTGGGGATTTCTGCATGAGCTATACGGCTGTGCAATTTTAAAAAAATTTTTTTAAGTTTTGAGACAGAGTCTAAATAATTCACTCAATTTCCCAGGTTGGATTTAAATTTGTGGTCCTCCGTCCTTAGCCTCCCAGATTGCTGGGAATCCACAGGATATCCTTACTTAGAAATTAGCAATCATTGTATATGTTTATGGGATAAAATGTGCCTTTGATCTATGGCTCCTTTGTAGTAAGAATCAATCTAGTTAATGTGTCTACCACCTTCCCAACCTACAAATTCTTTTACAGTGACTGCAAATCTCACTGTTTAGCAGTTTTGAAAGTTATCCTTCTTATTAACTGTGGTCACCATGCAGTTTAGGAGAGAGTTGAAAATTTGTTCTCCACCGTGCCCGAGATTTTGTATTCTTTGGTGAACATCTTCCTTTCCCCATCCCTCATGGAATTGATGACATTAAGAATCAGAGTGCCCAAGAAAGGTGTGAAGGTACTTGGGGCACACTGTTCTTCAGAACGACCAGGCAGTGGTACCCTGTAGCACCTCATCTTGATCCCAGTTTTTATTTTTTTGTTTTGTTTTTTCTTTAACTCAGTTCTGGGAATTGAATGTAGGGCTGTCTTAGTTACTTTTTCCTGGTTGCAGAGACAACATATCTAATGCCAAATGTTGGCAAACGAAAGGTTTATTTCTTACAGTTTTTGGAGGTATCAGTTCATACTCAGTTGGCTCCAAGGCAGGCTGGCATGGTGGGGTCACAGTTTATGGCTGCTGCAAACAGCAAGGAGGAAACAGGCAAAAGAGCAAGAAAGGCCTTCTTTCTGCCATTACATCACATCCTGGCTCCACCCCTAGGTCAGTGTAGCACTCACACCCCCAGTCCAAGGGATAAACAATGAACCAGTCACAAATGTGTAATATAAACGCATGAGGCCTGGGGGCCACAGACATAAATTGTGACAAGGGCCTTGCACTGAACTAGACTAACTTCTGTTTTTAAAATTCTTTTTTATTTTGAGCCAGGGTCACCACAAGGAACTACAGTGCTGAGACACCATTCTTGGACATAGATTCTTACATGTCTATGTGTGGATGCACCTTGATGTCATATTGGAATCTACTAGGAGGTGAAGCGGCCCTGAGCAGGATTTAAATTTTACTAATTTTCTTTCTATGTTTAGCTGTGAATCTGTGGTAGGCCCAGGCCCCTTGCCTGGAGATGGGAGCTGATTCATAGTAAGTGAACCTCTATGAATCACAGGTCCTGACTGAGGCCTGTAGTGGCTTGTGTGGCCAGAGATACCTCAAAAGGTAAGATAAGGCCACAGCTGTGGACAGTCTGGCTCCAACCACAATTAACTAGGTAGAGACTGCAGCTGCAAAGATTACTCCTACAATCTCACTTCTACCATGTCTTCATGATAAGAAAGTGCTACTGAATTGACTTGATTCATTACTTGGAGACATCCTTGAAGTGACACCCAAGGTCCTGCTCATTGCTTGTACTTTCCTCAGTTTCTCTGCCCTTTGTCCTTGGTCCTAATATAAGTGGACTGACACAGAGAATCCTTTGTCATTACCCTCACAGTGGAGCCCTACAAATCATGTAATTTCTCACTTTTTATGTAACCTCCACCATAAACTAGTTTCGGAGATCCAAGTTGTAGGACAGAACCCCATAATGTCAGAGACATTTCACTTTGAAAACCAAGATCCTTGTTCTCGCATTCATGTATTATTTCACGATCAGATTCCATGGATTCTTTTCCTGTGTCCCCAGAGAGAACAACCTCAGCATCCCCCCAGCTTTCCCTGCTTCCTGTGGCCCACACTGATGCCCCACACCCTTTATGTGGAAGATAGGGATGGTCCCAGTTCTTTCCTGCTTCAAACAGCTGTGAATCAAACTCCTGAAATCTTGCAAAGTTGTGCAACTGTCTGTAAGTCATAAACCTCTATTTTTAACCCTCCCAGGTCCAGGGACACTTATGTAGTGCTCTGATGGGAGCTGCCAGAAGGGGCTCTGCTCTGCCCCCCTTGTTCTCCCCAGTGCTGTTCAGCACCTGCCTTTAAACCTGCCATCAGATGGAGACATCGCACATATCAGGTATGTGTGCCTGCATGAATCAGCTTTGGAGGCTCATTGTTTTCTGCCCTTGTTGGCCACCTGTGGTGATTCTCTTTTGATTTATAATAATTTTTCATCTCTCACAGAATGGACTCATGACACCTCTTTTACACCTGTATCACAAACTATCTGTCTGACTATGGCTTGTAAGGAAAGGTTTCTTGTTGTAGTTTCTACATTATTCTTTTTTCTGTTTTTCAAATGCAATGAATCAGACCTCTCTAGCTCCCTTCTATCATTGAAGTCATGGGAACACTTTTCCAACATGAAAAGATGAGTAGTTACAAAATGCTCTCTATATTTTCCTGACAGAATTGTCTACCTGGGATTTTGTCTTCTATCAAAGAGCAACATCAGCCACTGTCTTTCAGTAAAATTTGACTGAACAGAGTCTGATAAATGATTATTAAAGACCCAGAGTACTAAATCACATTGAGAAAAAGGTCAGAGGTGGGTGGGGTATAGCAGGAGAGGACATGGGTATGGGTAATTCCAGTACTGAGCAGGGAGCTGGAAATCAACAGATGTGGAAATTGTACAAATAGATGTTGTACTTATATGCTACTCAATTGAACATAGTGAAACTAATGGTATCTTAAATTTTAAGGTAAATTGTACTAGAACTTAATGTCTAGAAGAATTAGAGACTTAGGAGTAGAAATGTAAACTGAAAATAATACAAGGTGTACAAGGAGAGGGGTAAGGAAAGGCAGGTGCTTTGTAGGAGTGGCCCTAAGTGGAGTTCAGGATGCTTGCTGTGGAGCCAGTAAAAGCCTCAGCTCTAGAATTCCTCAGCACAGGCTGCCTGGCCTTAGTTTTCACTTTGATACCAAAGCTGGTGAGGTCACTGGAGATGGATCTAGCATAAACTCTGCATGTGGGGCTTGAGCTCACTTAGCTACTACCCTGTGACAGCAGAAGGAGAAAAATTAAAAACTATCCTTGTTCCTTTGCAGGCCCTAGAACTTCCCAGTGCCTGTCACAGACAGTTCTGCGCAGAAATTCACCCCAGGAAAGCTTCCCATTCTTCTTTGACCCACTCACTTCTGCATGTCTCAGTGTTGCAGGAGGCCCCAAATCTTGGAGTCTTTGTCTGTATAAAGTGTCCCATGCACTCCCCAGAGGCCCACAGACCCAGGCCAAACCCTTCTGACTTCAGTTCTCATTTTCAGTGAGCTCAGGTTGGTCCAACTCAACTGGGCATCTTATAGATTTGGACAACAACCTACTGCTGCAGTTGCAGAGCCCTGCCCCAGCCTTTTCTTTGCCTTGGATGGGGTAGTGCTGGCCCAGGTGGTCCTCACATGCTGATAGAAGTCCCTAATACTGCTGTGACCACCTGTCCTCCCTTCTTCACGTAAGCCTAACATAAACCTCCCTTTCCAACCCTTGTGGTCTGTTGTCTCTGAGCAAGAGTGGTGTTTGCAGTGTTACTCTACTCATGGTCACTCAACAGGGGTACTGTACTATATATATCTGAAAAGTGAGTGGACAGATAATGTGGGTTCTGCCTGCCTTTCCTCCATCTTCTATTTATATAATAATGCATCACTGCATTCGGTGTGCCTTAGAGGAAATCCCCTTACCCTATTATGTGTTCACATGTACAGAGGCCAGGAAGTTAGGCACATTCACAGTAATGTGGGTATTACATGATGTTCTCTCCAAGGTTACGGTGTGGCCTGCACAACATTAAAGCACAAGACAACAGTGTTTATGTTTAATCTGATCATTACATCTGTCAGAGCCTAGTAAATTGATAATTAAATGCACCCACCAGCTTCCTGCATGATTTCTGTGTGGACCGAGATATCTCCCAGAAATTCCTGCTCTAGATAATAGGGAATCCCATAGAATGACTCTCTATTGTCCTTCACAATAAACAACAGCTTTTTCACTCAAGTGATGGATCCTTGGCCTGAGGCAACACTTTCCCAAGGCTAAGAAAAAACAGCAGTGCAGGAAGTGTCTCACCTCTGAGGCAAAAGTCAGGGATTTGGATAGAACTTGTTTTTCTGGTTTCCTATGTCATTCTAGACAAGACACCATGTCTCTCAGGACCTTCCCAATGTGTTAGTGTGCTCTATGGAGCTCATTCTGGCATCTGCCACCTGGGAACATGATCAGTGGTGTGAGATGACATTTGTAAGGTCTGTGTGCTGGTGTCACATATACCTAGTGCAGAGATTTAAAAGTGAAATCCAGGAAAGGTTAGGATGGAGGTGGAACACAGTGCACAAAATGTTAGCTCCTTCTGTGTGGTGGTAGAAATAAGACTCACCTCCTGGACATGATTCCCTGGTGGCTTCATGAGAGTGTGGAAATGCATTGATTCAGCCATCCTTATTTTCCCTAAGCATCTCAATTTCTTCTATGTATTGGAGCTGTGGCTTCTAATCAGGACCTCACACAGGCTGAGAAAGCACTTTGGGTGTAGCTACATCCCCATATCTAAGTCTATAGCTCCTATATTCACACCTGTGTGAGCCACCAAGCCTGTGGCCTGTGCTCCTACTCAGTAGCTGAAAATTCACCTTGTGATGGCTATAGCCTGTTCCCTATATTATGGTCCTAACTTTGTGGCTTATTATTAATATTATTATTTTAATTTTGCATTAGCAATGCTGAAATTGAGCCCAGGGCCTCATGCATGGTAAGCAAGTATTGTATCATGAGCTCTCTCCCCAGTTCCTGACTCACTCTTAAATAACTGAATATGGCAGAGGTTATTTGATGGTACTACTAAGGTTCACACAAAATAACTGTGACCAATCTCCTGATATTTTCCTTTGTTCTCCCCAGTATTTTTTTTTTGGTCCCTCTCTGGATCTCTGCCTTCAAAGAAGTCACTGCTATATCTGTAGCTTCCCTGAGGAGAGGCTGATGAACCTTGAGTGAGAAAAGGGAAAACAGACAGAGGAGACATTAGGCTTTTGTCCTGAGTCCTTCCTGTTGACAAAGGACAAAGCCTGAGAGCAAATTCTGCCCTAGTGGCATGTTCACTGAGTACGTAGCTCTGTGCACCAAGCTACTATGGTAGCAGCCACAGAAAAGCCTCCTGGATTCCTGATCCACAGCAACTCTTCATAGAACAGAGTATTATCTCATGTATCAGATAGGCACAGACTGACCTGCCTTGTATCTTTTAATATTTTGCAAATGTATGTAATGACTGGACAAAATTTGTCCTCTCTGCCTTCTTTCACCAATCAATCATTCTGAGCTTCCTGTACAATGTTTTTATATTTTTTATTAGAATTTTAATTCATGGCTTGCTCTGGTTTCTTTATTCATTTAGATGTTATTGGATATTCACATTGTAGTTTTCAGTTACTGAAAACAAACCTGATGTGAATATCTTGTGAAATTCTCTTCATGACATAGAGAGGATGCACAGAATATTAAGGTAGTCATATGTGTTACTCTTAAATTAACTACCAAAATGATTTCTAAAATGAATATACCACTAGCAATGCAAAAGGAGTCTCCTTCCTCACCAGTACCAGTGTACTTTGACCTAAAAAAAAGTCAGCTCTTAGTGCTCTTCAATACATGAGCAGGGTTTTTCCTTGTGAGATGAATATTCACTTACCTGATTACTGATAATGTTAAGAGACATGTACAGACTGGGAAGGGTCCATATGACTCCCAAGGGCATGTTGAAGGCCTTCAGAAGTGATAGACATGTGGATCTCACAGAGGCCTTCAAATCACTGCAGGCTCCTGCTGAAGTCACACTGCATGACCCAGGGAGCTCCGCCTACTTCTGAGGTTAAGGCCCCATGACCAGGAAAGTCTCTGTGCGTTCCCTCAGACCTGCTACTTGACAGAAGGTGGATGTGGAGGAGCCCCTAGCCCAAGGAGGGGGACTTGAGGGACTGCTCCTCTCTACCCATGATATACATATACAATTTGTATAGCCCTGGAGTATGGGAGCTGGCAAGATAGTTGAGTTAAAATGTGAGTGAAACTGTCTCAACATGGGTGTTATAGCTATGGGAAAATGGGGCTGATAACACAAAGATGAGCCCACAGAAGATGTGCCAAATTTATTCCAGCCAGCTCTGCCTCTATGTGACAAGTTCTACAGAATGTGAAATGGACAACCTGTAAGCAGATAAGCATACTTTAATTACTTGTTGACAGCAGGAACTGGGATCAGAGATGCCAGACCTGCAAGTGCTGATATGGAGAGCATGACTGCACCACAGGGACTGGGGCCTGTTATCTACAGTGTCTGGGGTTGGATAACAGGGAACTAAGGAGCATAACTGGATGCAGCCCCACTTTTATTCAACAGGTAAATGCAGCATTGGAGCACCCAATTGTGGTGTGGATATGACTTTACCTGTGTAACTGTGTATCACTGAAACATGATGCAGACATTTGGGGTGGCAACAAGCTCATTAGGGTGGTGCCCACTGATTGGCTTACTGTGGAAGCCTCTTAAGTCTGTGTCAGCTAGGGCTGACCATAACTATCCTACACTGACCAGGACACCACCTGGGTATTCCCATGTATCCAGGACACCATCAAACCCATTATTATGGACACACTGCAATATTGTGAATCTGTTCTATAGGTGCCACCATATTGTACAGATGGCCTAGTGGTTTGCTCTAGTGGCTGTGTTGTTACCAAGGACAAAAATCATGGACATAAATCCTTGTTAATGCAGGGCCCATGCCATTAACTTTACTTGCTAGGCTTGGTGTTGCCCATGGATGAAACTTCTCAAATGTGAAAGGTAGTTTTGCAAAACCACATGAGCCTTGATTTGGGAACCACAAGCCAACAAGGTACTTGTGCCATCTTTCATTAGAATATGACATTTATATCTCTGACCAATAAAGATAGGAACAAGAGGCCTTAGAATAAATGGATGTTCACCTGAGACTTCCGAACTGTCACCACGGGTCTGCCCCACAACCCAGCAACCAAGGACATGCTGGACTGCCACTCAGGCTAACAAAGTCAGAAACTACCCCACCTCCTGGACCTAGTATTACAGTTGACCTTTGGCTCTGACCCTTTCTCCTAAAAACTTGCACTATAGTGGATTACCATGCTGGCTTGATGAGAGACTCAGGAAACCCTCACACCAACAGAAGCTGTCAGCAGGCTCCAGTCAGTGTCGTGACTGTACCCCTAAAATAGAGGTTTGCTGTGGGTAAATAGGAGCAGAAACAAAGCTCCCTCCAACTACAAGCCATTGGCAAACCTGGCAAGACAGTGAGTAACACTCCACACAGAGAACATCAGACAAGTTGAGGAGTGTACCAACAAGGCCTCCCCTAGCTTGGAGAAAATTAAAAGAGCTTATAAAACACCCAGTGACACAATAGGACCTCAGGTGACACAAACACTATAGACAGGGAGATCTGGTGACCTGCAACAACCTGAAGACATAGCAATAGCAGGAACTAAGAGTTTTCCTAGGTCTATTCTTTTAGGCTAGTTAGTCCAGGAAGAATGTAGGACTCAAAAACAGGCCCTGCATGAGGAATTCAGGTGACTGGCTCTTCTTCATTTGATACCCAGCAATTGCACAACCATCAACCACACAGTAGGACCCTAAAATTCACACTGTGTTGGGATTGGAAGACCAAATATGTACCCAAAGGATGAAAATGACAAGGTGAATTGGAAAAATGCAATCTCAAACATCTAGCCAATCAGGAACAAGTACAGGTAACACTGAAATAGAGCATCTTAAAAGTCATATACCAGAAATCTGTGGAAAGATAGCAACTGAAGTAAAGAGAGAAATCCATGAGGCTATAGCAGAAATCAAATGAGAAAGAATGTCCCATGTTAAGACAGAAATCCTAACCTTATTAAACTAGTTACACAACATAGCTAGAGAAGAAATAGATTTAAAAAAACAGAAGAGCATAGGAAATTGATTGAAACTTTGAATGAAAAGTGTAGAAAATAAGCAGAATCCATGAAACAAGTGCAAGGAGATATCCAAGACAAAAAACTATTGAAAGCTGGTAAAGCTATTTAAAAGAAGCTGAGGATAGCTTGAGGACAGTGTCATACATAGTGATCATGATAGGGTAGAACTTCTAAAAACAGAGCAACATGAAATAATTCAGTAGCTTCAAGATGATGTGAAGATAAACATAACAGTAATAGACATCAGTGAAGGCACAGGAGTTGATGCTGACATAACTAAACTATTCAGAGAAGTAATAGTAGTAAATTTCCCAAATGCGGTAAAAGTCTAATATACAAGAATGTGATGCATACAGACTGTCAAACAGTCACAACCAACATAAATCTACACCCAGATATATAATAATTAAGATCTGAGACATAGAGCATAGAAACAGAATACTGAAAGCTGTTGGGGAAAAAGACACAACTCACCTATCAAGGAA